CCCCGCGGCTGGCGGGCGCCTGCTCCTGGCAGAAGGACCCGCATGTAATTAGAAACTCCAGAAGCTCCCTAATTGCCAGTTCTCCCAAACTGGGAGGCCGGCGCTATTTCTGAGCCGCCCTTGTTGCCAGCTGCTGGAGGTCCCTAGAGGGGAAGAGGCTGAGAGCAGAGCCAGGCTGGCGTGGAGGCGGCCCTGGAGACGGCTGGCGAGGTCAGAGGGGACTGCGCGGAGAAGGGCGGGCGAGTGGTCAGAGCACAAACGTGGCGGAGAGGGCTGCCTGCCCTCAGGCACCAGCCGGGTGCTCAGTGCAGCCTGTGGCCTCCTCCCACCTTCCTCCGCCCTCATGCTCCCACTCATGCCCAGAATAGTGACAGCAAAGCAGCCAGGGCCATTCATTCTTTATTCGCGTGGCATAAAAATCATTACAAAAACTTTACAAAAGAGCCTCAGGGAACTATCCCCCTCCTCTCCCACTGCAGCCCCTGAGACACCTGGGTAGAGGAGGGAGCGGAGGGAAGGAGAGTCCTGGCAATGTGGGTATGTCCAAGGAGCGGTGGGGGGACTGAGGTGACAGAACATCAGGGTGGGCGGAGGGCTGAGGGCCTTAGGGAGGTTAAGGCCCAAGCAGGGACTGGAAGGCCCAACTCCCACCCACACAGTGGGACAAGGCTCCACCCCCAGGGTCTGTCAGTTCTCTCCCCAGCCAAGGCATCCATTCCCTCCTGTCCCCACCCCCCTCTGGTAAACAAATGTGGAAGTGCCACCGCCAACTTAGGGAATAACCTCCCTCCCTTCCTGACAAAAGTGGATCTCTCTAGCTGCCCCTCTGCCCAAGCCCCAAACAAGGACAGCCTCCTAGCCGCTTTGGAAGAAATGATGTGGGATCCAGGCCTGTGATTCCCTGACGCCCGCCCACCTCCTGGCCCCACCCACCCCAAACTCCCCGAGAGAGGAGAGGAGCGGGGAGAAAACAGCTCCTCTCCGCTCCCAGACCGCCCACCCAGACCCCTGCCCTAATCCACGAAGCTGTTTGGAAAGAGTCTCAGGAGTTGAGAAGTTGGTCCAGGCAGGGACTCAGGATGCTGGCAGCTAGCCTCTCACTTGGGGCTATTAGGCTGGGGGTAATCCTCCTCTGAGGGGGGCGCAAGTTTCAAGTCAGGGCCGAAGGGCTTGTCTCCACGGGGGAAGGCTTTCTGGTTCAGGAAGGAGTCCCTGTCATCCGGGGAATCCTGCTGTTCCTTGCGCTCCCACTGCGCGCTGGGGTTGGGGTTCCTCACGCTGCCCACGAAGAGGGGCATGCTTGTTGTGTCCTCGAGGATGAAGAAGACAAAGGGGCGGTTCACGATGAAGGAGGAGAGAGACATGCGGGACATGGCAGTGCCCGTTGCCGCGGCCGCCTCCACGCCAGCCTCGCTGAGCTCCAGAGTGGACTGATGCTGCACGCTGGACACCACCAGCCTCTGGTCAGAGATCCCGCGTAGGTCTGGGGCCTGGAACAGTTCCTGCAGGCCTGCCCAGGGCAGGGGATTGCTGCTCAGAGCTGCCTGCTGCCCCCCAGGCCGCCTGGGCACCCGGGAGGGTGTCTGGCATCCTGGCCAGAGAACACCTCCAACCCACAGGTCCCCGGTTAACTCTTATTTAAGCTCCAAGTATCAGCTTAAAAGTCCCTTCCTCCAGGAAGCCCTCCCTGATCCCCTGTCCCCGCAAATCCCGAGAACTGGAGAGAAGCCCCTCCCTCTTTTCACTCATACTGAATTGTAAGTACCTGATTCCTTATCTGTCCACTCCATCTGACGGAGCTCTTGGTACACGGTGGGCTCCCAGTGCCTAGTACAGTGCCCCTTGCAGGACAGCCAGAAAGGCTCACATGCCACCCAGGCTCTCTAGCAGGGATTCTCTGCAATGCTCAGTCTTGGATGGAGCAGGTCCTCATTCCCTGGGCCACCCCAGCCCACCCCAGGACAGATGGTCCAGGGGCTCATAGGAAATGCTCTTGCCTCCCGAAGCCCCAGAAAAGGCTGGGACCCAAAGCTAGGGTGCCCCACTGCCAGCTTGGGGTGGGGGTGGGGGTTCCTCCTCACCCACTCTGGCTGTCCCATGCCCTAGCCTGACCTGGGGGGAGCTGTCCCATGCCCAGCCTCCTTACCCAGCTGGCTGAGGGTGGCCACCAGGTCCAGCTGGTATTTCAGATGCAGCTTAGGCAGCTGGACCTTGGTGGGTTTCTCTCGCAGTAAGGGCTGGTGCAGGATGTCCCAGCTCAGGTTGGCCAGCACCTGGGACACGTTCCACTCAAAGTGGGTCGGCATAATGACCACAAAGCTCATGTTGTTCTTAAAGGGGAAATGAGCCACCTACGGAAAAGGAAAGGCGACGTGAGGACCAGTAAGCGCCCAGACCCGATGGGGTCTGGGCCAGCACATGCTGCTGAGACAGATGGACAAGGGGTTCCAGGCTATTCTCAGGTTGTGTTCGGCCTCCCTGAGCCTCCATTTCCTCACTTGTGAAGTGGAATAATACTACCTGCCCACGTTGCAGGGTGATGTGTGACACACACAGAGAGGAGAGAGAGAGAGCCTTTTAAAGCTTCTAGCAGAGGGGCACTTGGGTGGCTCGGTCAGTTAGGCGTCCGACTTGGGCTCAGGTCATGATCTCACGGTTTGTGAGTTCAAGCCCCGCATCGGGCTCTCTGCTGTCCGCGCAGAGCCCACTTCGGATCCCTGTCTCCCTCTGTCTCTGCCCCTCCCCTGCTAGCACTCTCTTTCTCAAACATAAATAAACATGTAAAGCTTCTAACAGAGTATCAGCACATAGGCAGTGCTCAATAAATGGTGACTTTCTCTCTCTTCACCTGCTACCAGTGACTTGGGTTGAGCAAGGCCCCCGTGTCGGCCTCTCAGTTTCTCCATGTGAACAATGGCCTGCGTTGTTCATGTCCAAACCACCCTGGGTTCTGTAGAGGAGCCACCGCAAAGGGCGGTTCCCTCCCCACCCCCCAACCTTCAACAATGACTGCCCGGGTGTGTATAACACTGTGGTTTGAGGTAAGATTTCACGTCAATGGGGTTTCTGCAGCTACGCAAGTGTGGAAAGCACTGGGCTCGATGGCCTCTGGCAGCTGTTACCCCCTCAGGCTCCAGGCAGAGCAGCCAGGGAGCAGGAGCCCTGGCAGGGGGGTGGGGGCAGCCCCACCTCTGGCTGCCCAGGGCCTACCTGCAGAGTGCATGAGGAAGAGGAGGCCCGAGGGCCAGGAACAGAGGCAGAGGGTAAAGGAGGAGGGGCAGGACACAGCCTAGAGAGCAGGAACAGCACGAAGGGCACAGGTGGGGAGGTGAACAAGACGGTCTACCTGTCAGGGTGGAAGGGAGAAGCGGGACGCTGCTCCAAGGGTCCGCCTCAACCACAGGCCCACAGCCCCTCTCAGGAGGGCCAACAGAAGCAGCTGAGGTCTGTGCCGGGCCATCTTGTGAAACTAACCAACACTGCCGTCTCTGCCACAGCTCACGGGCCCTGGGATCCACGCTCAAGCCAAGAGGACCACATTTGGGCCAGAAGCAAGGGAGGCCTCATCTGAGACAGCTTGGCATTGTACTCCATGCGATCAGAATGTTCCAGCAGGATACTGACAAATCCATCCCAACCAGACCCTTATTTCTCTAAGGAGCACTGTGACAGCCAGGTCACATCGCCCAGGCTTGGGGATGCTGAGGCTGAGTGGCTCTACAGCTGTTGAGTGGCCCCTGTGCTGCCCAACAACCCATGGGCCTTTGTAATAAACCCTTATCACCAAAGATCACCTGGGTTTCCACCCAAGGCCCCTCCTCAAAGAACGCTCCCTGACCACTGTATCTAAAATATCTTCCCCAGCCACCGATCAATCACTTTTTTTTTTCCTTTGCAGCACTCACCACTCTCTGAAACTATGTTTGTTCGTGTACTCTGTGTCTTCCCTCCTGAGAGCGGGGACCAGATCCCCCTTGTGCTCCCGGAGCCTAGAACAGGATCTGGCCTGCAGCACATGCCCCCACATACTTTTGCCAAATTAATGAACTTCGAAGAGACTGGAACCTCAGTCCCCACTGGGTCGGGGCACGGTGAGACCTTCCAGAGCCACCTGTCTCAGCGACAGAACTGCAAGGAAGATGGGCCACAGCCCCCTCTACCCCTGAGCCTGCTCCACAGCCCCGCCCCCTCCTTTCCCCGCCTCCCAGCAGTCAGGCCCAGCCTGGGTGGGTGATCAAAGGTGACCTGTATCTCAGGCTGCTCCAGCAGGAACCAGCGCAGGGGATACGTGCGGGCTTGCATCATGTCCACTGGCACCGTGAACTCCTCATTCAGGTGGAAACTGTTTCTCTGGGTGAGGCTCGGGTCGAACTTGCTCCGCCAGAAACCTATATCCAGCAGAGGGCAGGGGCCACGTAGACTGGGACACCACCAGCCTCTTCCCTATTCCACCCAGAACCCGTTCAAGGGACAAAAGGTAGAGTCAAACCCCCAAGGGACACTGTGCCAGTGCATACCCAGCTGATCTAAGGTGTCTTCCCTGTAGCATTTTGGAAATCTGGAATTGCATTCTTCCCATGCCCTGCCATGCTCCCAGGAGCGTCCCACCTGCCCCCCACCCCCACCCGCCCATCCTTTCAGACTCAGTTTCCTGCTAGGGCACTCTCTTCACAACAGCCCTATCCAGTTCCTGGCCCCCTCTTTGGCAAACCATCACCTGTTTCCCACCCTCCCCCAAGCCACAACCCAGAGATCTCCCTGCCTCCTGGCCCAGCCCTGAGGAGAAAAACCCTGAGGACAAAGGTTTCGAAGCCCAGCTCAGCCTACAGGGCAGGGGTACCAGCTGAGGGGTGGGGGACCCAAGGAGAGGACAAACGCACCCTGGAAGTGGATGGCATTGAGGAGAAGCAACACTGTGTCATCTGGCAGCTCTGAAAGGAAATCCTCAATCTTCCCCTCTGTGGCCTCCTTCACCCATTGGTTGATGTTCACCAGATCATCCCTCTTCCTTCCTGTCAGGCTCACGGGCTTTGCGCCAAAGAGCTGTTCTGATTGTTCCAGGAAGTCTTCTTTGATGGGAAATCCTACACAGGAGGGGCCACAAGCTGTTCCTAACCCTAACCTAGGCCAAGCCCATCTCCATCAACCCCGTCCACCCCAGGGCACTACCTAGGGAGCTCCAAACCACCAGCACCTACCTTTCTGCAGGTACATTCTAGCAGCCAGTCGGAATGCCCCAGGGCCCAGGTCCTGGCAAAGGTGGCTCAGCAGGTGGGGGAGGCAGGGCCCTGAGTCCGCGTGCAGCACCTGTAGTAACTTCTGCAGCGTTTGGTTCTGAGCACCTGGAGAGGACCACATCCGCTGTGGCCCGGGGCCGGGGTTCTTTCCCGCCCTGCTGCCCACTCTAGCCCCTGTTAAACCCCCATGGTGAGCATGCCCACAGCATCACATTCTCTTCCCATATCCACTGAACTGGTCTGAATGACAGTACTCCCTAAGTTTTACTTTCCTCTCTGCTGCTGGCGGTCTGGGTGACCTCACCTCATCCAAGTTGTTTTCCCTCTCTGAACCTCGGTTTCCCACCATGAGAGCATCCAGTCCAGTGAAGACATCGTAGCTCTCAAACCCTTGCATAAAAATCACCAGAAGCATATCCTTAGGCCCAATCCCTGGGAATCTGATTCACAGAGACTGGAGGTGTGCCAAGGAATCTGCATTTTTACCAAACATCCAAGTGACCCTGATGGAAGAAGCACCCACTAGTAAACTCTGGAGTATGGAGTTCCTACTGGCCTCCCAGCTCTGCTGGTCTGGAGAGGTCACAGTACCTAGTGCCAGGTGAGACAATGCCAGGGCCACACTCAGAGGCGACAGGATGAGGTTGGGGCTGGTGGCCCTTTGGGCCACCAGGGAGAACAGATCTGTGGTGAAGGCCATCATGGCCTGGGCCAACTTGCGGGTCTCCTCCGGGGTTGGGGCTCCCTTGCAGTCTCTTGGGGCCTTCTTCAGGGCAATATGGCCACTGGGCTCCTACAGGGACAGATCAGAGGGTCAGTAGGGTCAAGGGGTCAGCTCTGTGTGGAAAGCTCCCTTTCATAGGCCCTGTGCCTGGGAACAGCAGGGCTTCGTCCCAGTCCTGACATGAGAGGGAGAGTCACGTGGGCAATAGCCTTCTGGAGACCCCGTCCTTTCCTTTCGTCCCTCCCTCCCACCCTCTCCCTTTAGGTCTCAGCCTCATGACCA